CCTTCCTAAGCAATCGATTAAGTGGAAGTGCTAATTTCGCTGCATTCGAAACAAACTTTCGGTAATAATTAACCAGTCCAAGAAATGACTGAAGTTCCTTTATACATATTTTAGGGTGGAGATATATTCTGGACACACTGAACTGTTGTCTAATATTCTATCAGTTATTTCTGCTAACTCATCTATACTTGTGGTTTTGCATGCTGATAGAATGCATCTTACATTGTTTGGCATACGTTGCAGCCACAGTGTTGTTAATGCCTCCTTTGAGACATTTGCGCCTGCTAACGTGCGCATTTCAGTTGGCTTGGTTTTTTGTTCGAAAGTTCTAGACCGGTGAGTAGCTTTGTGAGCTGCTTTTCTGACGACGCGGAAAATCCAGAAATTAGTTCTTTTTTTAATTTGTCGTATTTGCCTGTTTCAGGAGGATTTTTTGCAATATCTGCAACTTGTTGCAGCGTTTTGGCATCCAGCGCAGTAATTACTGTGTAAAACTTTGATAAATCTGCCGTGACTCGGCTCATATGAAGTAGGCCTTCAATTTGTGCAAACCATAAAGTTGGGTCCTTGGTTAAAAAGTTTGGTAACTTCATTTGCCCAATCGCTTGCACTGCCGACGCATCCGCTTCCATAGGCTGAAATTTATTTGTTTCTGCGGGAGTCTCTGCATGTTCAATTTCGCCTATTTTCTGCATTTTGCGTTTTTTTCTTGAAGTTTGCGTGATTGTTTTTGTAGGGGTCACCAATTTATGGCTGTTATGCCATAAATTTATACAAAATAAAAAACACACTTATTGATTGCTGATTAACTATTTTATTTCTTACTTAGCGTCTACTTGAAGTTGGTTGCTTATTCATACCAACAAAGACCATTTTTGGTTTTACTTTGCCGGTAGATGGCAAAGTGAACGCCACAAGGGTTTAACAGCCAACACCATCTAATGGTAAGTATTATGAAATCAAATTAATAAAATATATTTAAAAATTTGTTATTTAAATTTAAATAAGTAATAATATTAAAAATAATAATACTATTTGTTTAGAATTAAGGTTTATACTATTTGTTTAGAATTAAGGTACATTGTATTATGGCCATTATTTGTTTTATCATTTTAATTGTGTCGTAGCCTTTAAGCACACGCAAAAACGCGGCGTGTGGCTTAGAGGTTAGTAAAAAAGAAAACGTGAACGTAAAAAGGTCAGTAAACTAACTGAATAAAAACATTGATGCCGAAACCCAGGATAGTGATCCGTAAAAGGGATAGTGATCCATAAAAGGGATAGTAATCCATAAAAGGGATAGTGATCCAGAAAAGGGATAGTTATCCAGAAAAAAAAATATAATTGCAAAATGTTAGACTCAGAAATTCACGAACTCAGCGACGGGGAACAAGAAGGCGTGCAGAAAGGGTCTAAGAAACTGGCGGACTTGAAGGCGTTGAGAGGCAGCACCAAAGGCAACATCACTAGCTTAAAATCAATGATTTTGAAAAAAGGGTCAAGTTTGTCAACAGAAGAACTTAACTACAGGCTTAGTTTGACAGAAAATTACTTCAAACAGTTTCTGAGTGTGCAAGCAGATATCGACAAACTAAACCAAGGCGCAGATACTTCTTCAAGCGAAGCAATTACAGCAGAAGTTGAAGATGGATTTGTGGCCACGAAAACAAAAATAATGAATTTACTAAAAAAAAGAAAGCTATCACTGGTAGATGTCAATGCAACGAATACAACATCGTTATTACCGGGCCCAAGAAGTCATCGGGAAGTAAAATTACGGAAATTTGAAGGGAAGTGTAGCGAATTTCCGAAATTTATAGCCTTGCTTAATAAATTAATCAACCGGGATGAAATGCTTGATGACTGCGAACGATTTTTGATACTTAAAGAGCACTTGGGCTCTAAGCCGTTGGCAGCTATTGACGATTTTGATGTCACAGAGGACAATTACCCCAAAGCACTCAGTCGATTGAAGGAATGCTTCGATAAAAAGTCGTTGATGTTCGAGGAACATATTACAGCCCTCTTTGCTGTCCCAAAATTAACAAAACCATCTGCAGTTCATTTAAGAAATGTATTAAATGCAGCGAATGCACATTTGAATGCAATGCTATCATTAGGTGATTACAAAGATATAGCGAATGCCATGTTAATTCATTTGGTGATGGAAAGAGTGGACGAAGATTCGCAGGTCAAATGGGAAGAATCAGTGGATTACAGGAAGCTATCAACTTGGAATGAATGTTCAGCGGTTTTGACGAGGCGATGTGAGAACCTTGATGCAAGGGAACATAAAGTTAATCAAGTGAATTCAAAGGCTGTAAACTATCAAAAAGAGTATAGAAATAACCGCAACTACTCAACCTCTCTTGCAGTTACAAAACCTTTATGTGAAGCCTGCAATGGCAGTGGCCACGATTTTGCAGATTGTAGCAAGTTTAGAAAGCTTTCTTTAAAAGAACGTTTTATCGTAGCACGGAGAATAAAGGTATGTTTTACATGTTTGAAAAGGGGACACCTTCAAAAAGTATGCTCTGCTGTTAAATGCTCGAAATGTAATTTATCTCATCATCAACTTTTACATAAAGATTATATCTTCGAGCCAAATAAACAAAGATGCAAAAATTGGCCATCTACGTCAACACAGGAGACAGCTCAGTCATCAGTTATGAACGTAATGACTGAAAACGAGGTTTTTGTGGCAACAGTAATGGTAGCGGACAAGTTTGGCAAATATCACCAAATGTGAGCCATATTAGATTCTGGCTCTCAAGTAAATTTGATGTGTGAGAAAGTTGCTCAAAAACTGTTATTAAAAAAACGTCTTGTAAATTAGATGCTAGCTGTGTTGGAGACGTTGTAACTAGCTTTAAAACAAAAACTGTGGCTACCATCAAATCAAGAATAAATGAATTCGAAGTCAGTCTGCAATTTTATGTTTTACCGAAAATAACAAGCTCCAAACCTAATCGTTATGTCGATGTTGCGGACTGGAATTTACCAAAAAATATTCAAATGGCTGATCCAATGTTCAATAAGCCAGCGCGTATAGATATTCTTATTGGTGCGGAAATTTTCTTCGATTTGTTGTCGATTGGACGAATTCATCTTAATGAAAGGTTGCCAACCCTACAGAAATCCATACTAGGGTGGATAGTTGCAGGCAAAGCAGAAGAATGTTTAGCACCTAGTCATAAAATAAATAATATGCTGGTCAATCACAACCATAATGAGAATGAAAACTTGAGTCAATTGGTTGAAAAATTCTGAAAAATAGAACAGATTTCAACTAAATCAAATTTTTTAACCGAAGAAGAAGAGGAATGCGAGAAAATTTTCTGTGAATCAATTCGTAGAGATACATCTGGCCGATTTATTACGAAAATTCCTTTTAAAACAACAGTGAGTGATTTGTTTGGTTCCTGTAATGCTGCCAAACGACGGTTGCTGTCACTAGAGCATAGGTTGAGTAGAGATCGCTCTACACGAGACGCTTACAATGCATTTATGGATGAGTACCTCTCTTTAGGTCACATGACGATCGTTGAAGAAGCTGATATGGATAAGATAAAATATTTTGCACCGCATCAGTATGTGCTACGACCAGACTCCACGAGTACGAAACTTCGAGTTGTATTCGATTGTAGCTGTAAAACTGACAGTGGCTTGTCATTAAATGAGGTAATGATGAAAGGACCACTGGTTCAAGATGACCTGTTATCTATAATACTACGATTTAGATGTTACAAATATGCAATTACGGCAGATGTAACAAATGTATCGCCAAGCATGGATGACTGATGATGATGCGAATTATCTAACGATTTTGTGGAGGTCTTCCTCAAACGAAAACATAAAGGCCTATCGCTTGCGAACCATTACTTATGGTACAACATCTGCCCCATATTTAGCTACAAGATGGTTAAAACAGTTAAGTGAAGATTATATCGATAAATATCCGATTGGATCGAGAAAGGTGTTATCTGATTTTTATATGGATGATTTGATCAGTGGATCAAACGATGAAGATGAAATTTTTGAAATATATAATCAAGTATCAGCAGTAATAAACTCATCAAAATTTAAGTTAAGGAAGTGGTTTTCAAATAGTGAAAAATTTCTTAATTTTGTACCTGAAGCTGATAAAGAAAAGACTCTTCGGATGAATGATGAGGAAATAACAAAAGCTCTTGGTATCATCTGGGCTCCAGTGGGAGATACGCTCCAAAGCGGTGACAAAAAGAATAGTGTTGTCGGAACTATCTAAGTTGTTTGATCCCCTTGGGCTGATTAACCCATTAATCGTAAAGGCGAAGATTTTCATGCAAGATTTGTGGATATTGAAGGCTAATTGGGATGAATCCCTACCAATGAATTTACATAGTCAATGGATAGAATTCCGCGAAAATTTAAAAGACGTCAAGAAAATAAGTGTGCCTCGATTTGTTTTGGCAGAAAAACGAGTTGCTAGAGTTAAAATTGCTGATGCATCAAAAAGAGCTTTCGGGTGTTGTATTTACATTCGCTCAATATGTGTGGACAACGACGTTACAATGCAGTTGTGGAGTGCTAAATCCAGAGTAGCGCCATTAAAAACTTTATCTTTACCAAAGTTGGAACTTTTGGCTGCGGAATTGCTGTCGAAACTAGTGACAAAAACCAAATCCAATTTTCCAATTTCTATTGACGCGACCTATTTATGGGTGGATTCCGAAATTGTGCTAGATTGGCTGAGCGAGCACTCATCAAATTGAAACACATTTGTTGCCAACCGGGTATTATTGATTCAAGAGCAGACAAAAACGTGTATTTGGCGGCATGTTCCTTCAAAGTCTAACCCAGCGGATATAATATCAAGAGGTGCGTATGTAGAAGAACTATCTTATTCTATTTGGTTTGCAGGTCCTTCTTTCTTGAAGAGAGATTGTTGTGAATGGCCACCAAATAAGTCTAGAAAGACTACTAATGCTGACCAAGAAAGGAGTCGTAATAGTACGATAATGACTGTTAATTATTTGAAAAAAAAAATACCTTATGAGGCATGCTCTGAGGATAACTCGAAATCTTCTTTTGTGACGTGGGTTGAAACATTCAGCGATTTTGAAAAATTACAAAGAATTTTTGCCAATCTTCTTGGATTTCAAAGAAGCGTTAAGTCTATGACTGAAAGATTAGACGAAGCACTAGTGCGTATATTCTACTGTGTGCAACAACATTATTTCAAAGAAGAAATTGAGCTGCTATTGAAGAATAGAGAATTGCCAGCAAACAGTAAATATAAAAATCTGAGCATTTTTGTAAAAGATACTTATGGTGTTCCGCTACTACGTGTTGGTGGGAGATCAGCGAAGGCTGCATTACCATATGATGCTAAACATCAAATTTTGTTACCGAATAACTCAGAAATCGTTTGCAGTTTTGTACGATTTCTTCATTTCAAATATTTGCATGCTGGTACGCAAGCGCTTATGGCTATAGTTAGGCAGCGAGTTTGGATATTTCATGCTAGAGGAGTAATACGCAAAATTACTGGTATTTGTCCACAATGCTTTAGATGCCATCCAAAATTGAGTAATCAGATTATGGGCGATTTACCCCCTTCTAGAGTCACCGTAGCGAGGCCATTCACTGTGACTGGAGTGGACTTTTGCGGCCCTATTACAACAACGTATCTACTTCGTGGGTACAGAACAACAAAAAGCTATATTGCTGTTTTTATTTGTTTTGCCACAAAAGCTGTGCATATGGAGGTGGTCTCTGATTTGACTGCAAAGGCTTTCCTGGCTTCATTAAAAAGATTTGTATCTCGACGCGGCTTATGCTTAAAATTATTTTGCGACAATGCCACTAATTTTGTGGGTACTTGTAAAGAGCTCGAAGAAATGAAATGCAAGTTTTTTGATCAACAAGTACAGGGCAAGATTTCAAAATATTGTACTGCCAATCACCAGATCCCCCCACTTTGGTGGACTATGGGAAGCGGCTATAAAATCAGCAAAATATCATTTGGCTAGAATATTGGGTCAATCGCATCTTACATTTGAAGAGCTGGCAACAGTGATTGCGGAAGTAGAGGCAGTTTTAAATTCAAGACCTTTGACAACCTTGTCTAACGACCCAAATGATGAAAGCGTTCTTACACCGGCATATTTCTTAACAGGTGGTCCGTTGGTTGGAACTGTGGAACCTACTGTGGATAGCGAAGAATGGTCTCATAAAGATAGATGGCTACGAATTTCGGCCATACAACAACATTTTTGGAGAAGGTGGTCGGCGGAGTATCTTCATGAACTTCAACAGAAAGTCAAATGAACTAAGAAGCAGAAGAACCTTAATGAAGGTGATATGGTATTAATTGCAGAAGAAAATTTGCCTTCTAAGCAATGGTTTATTGGGAGAGTGCTGAAAGTGACAAGAGATGCTAAAGGTTGGGTTCGAGTTGCTGATGTAAAAACAAAGAATGGAGAGGTTCGCCGAGCAATCCATAAATTGGCACCTATTCCATCTGAATGTTGATGTCTGCTGGAGCCATCAAAGGCGGCGATATGTTAAGAATTAATGTTTATACTATTTGTTTAGAATTAAGGTACATTGTATTATGGCCTTTATTTATTTTATCATTTTAATTGTGTCGTAGCCTTTAAGTACACGCAAAAAGGCGACGTGTGGCTTAGAGGTTAGTAAAAAAGAAAACGTGAACGTAAAAAGGTCAGTAAACTAACTGAAAAAAAGCATTATTAATATTATAATAATAATATTAATAATATAAATATTAAATTTTTAATGCTTTCGTTTCAGAATCAAGATATACTAGCCGGAGTTTTAATTGGATTGTTGGTTGGCGGTAAAAATGTATATAAATAATTTAAAATATATATATAATATTATATTATTATTTATATTAAATGCACTATTAAAATAAAATTTTTTTGTCTCTTTCTTCAGCAAGCCCAGCGTCAACAGCAGCAACGAAACCGCCAACGTTTGCATTTCGCTTATTTCATTTTCGTAAACAAAAATAATTGCTTGAAAATAGTCAAGCAATTTCAAACCCTGCAAATTAAAGAACAGTTAATATTAATTACTTATATTTTTATTTATTTATTTATTTAAAAAATGCTCTAAGAGTAAAAAAAAACCCTTATGTTGCATCATTTTAGAACTAATTTAAAAACTAACAAAAAAGAGAAAAGAAAAAAAAGAAAGATAATATATACTCAATATATAACAATTTACAAATTATTAAATAATAAAGCAAAAAAGAAGAAATTGAATTAAAAATTAAATTAAAAAATTAAATTAAATTAGATAAATTAAAATTAAATTAAATTAAATTGAAGAATAAATAAAAAAAAAGAATATTTAAGATTAAAAAATTTTGAAATTTTGAATAGAAAATTAAATATTACAAACAGAAAGGTAGGTACCTTGTCGTGGTGTGGGCGCTAAGGGCTGCAGTGATTCGTTGGGCTTCATTAACAAGGATAGTCATACAATGGTATGCTATCTTCTGATAGGGCTTCCCATGTTAGATAGGCCGGATGATGAGCAACCAACTAAAACCTGCCTGTATGCGTCTTAGAAGTTTCCGATAAAAATAATGGACAGGGCGCGGTCTCCAAGCCAACTTTAGGTAGGCAAGGAGCCTTGGCTGAGGAGGTCTCTAATCGGGTCTCACTTTCTGAACTTACGCATTGACACAGCAATCGACGATGACTCGTTATCACAGGTTAGCAACATCGATGACATCAGTCCAGAGGTTGAGAAACTTTTACTTGATCTTCCTCAATCTTCCTCATCCAAGGCTTCAATGCCAGGGATGGAGCCGCCGAAGGTAGTGACAAAGGAGCAGAATGGCTACAAGCGATCGGTCTACTATCTAAGGAAAATGAGGGCTGTTGTGGGAACATGCACAATAGGGTGTGTGGAAAACGGTTTGACCGTCAGTAAATAAATATATAAGAACAGCCTTGCATTAAGTCTCATGTTACGATGCAGTAGCATGGGACTATGCAGAAGGCAATGGCCCCACAACGCAAGCGTGGAATGTGCTGACACTACGAAACGTGACCAGCAAACACGTTACTTTTGAAGCTGACAAAAAAGTACAGAAAGTTTTGACTAGGCAGTCGCTCGTTTAACTTAGTTGAGACATGTCGGGATCACCGCGCTGTTAAAATCGACTCGGAGAAAAACTAATAAAGTGCCAGTGCAGTAAAAAATCAAAATAAAGAACGATGAAATAAAATGCAAGCATCGAAATAAACGAACTGACTAAAGTAATTGTTAATAATAAAAACTAATAGAAATTGCAAATGACATTAGTTTCTGAGCCAATTACGGTGAAATAAAATGCAAGCATCGAAATAAACAAACTCACTAAAATAATTGTTAATAATAAAAACTAATAAAAATTGCAAATGACATTAGTTTCTGAGCCCATTACACAGTTGATAGGCTAAGTGCAGTAGTCTGAATTTAGTTGCGTGAATTCAGTAAACAAAAGATTAAGAATAATTTAAAGAAAAATCTAAACTGAAAGGCAACAACTACAACAATTGAATTTCTCAAGAGTATACACACACATACTAGAGCACCAACAACGGAGGTAACAACACATGCAACGCAGGTGCAGCAACAACATAATTATCAGCATCAACAACATCAGCAGAAGTAGAGACAACAGAAGTCTCAATATCAGCAACAACCGCAACCACAGCAAAGAACAACCGCACTTAAATAGTGGCATACTGCAAAAGTGACGGACGAGCCAGCAGAAACAGCGACAGCAATTAGAGGTACATAAGCAATAGTGTTTACACAAGAAATTCAATAAAGTGTTTATATACCACACATCATGTCTTTGCTATACAACCCATTAGGACCACGACATTTTGGCGCAGCCGGTAGGATGCAGGTAAGCATCATTTAAAATTTATAATTTATTATTAATGCATAATTTACAATTAATTTGTAATTTATATGAATTATAGTTTTTTTGTTTGTTTCTTGCATTCTTCATTAAATTGAATAAATAGTTAGTAGGAATACATTTTTTTTTAGGGAAAATTATTTTAAAAAAAAAATATAATAAATAAAATGTTCTTAAATAAAGATATTTCTATGTAGAGATATAATGTTCGCGGTTGTTCGTGACGATTTTGTCAATTGACATGAATTATCTCATTTTTTTTTTGGGTCTAAATGTGTAACAATAGCCGCACACAAGTTTTGGTGTTTGTTTGTTTCTTTTATTTGTATTTGTTTTTAGCAGTAAACAGTGACGGTATGTAAATGCAAGCATACAATATTTTGTTACATAGTTGACACTAAATCAAACTCTAGGAAGTTTTTTTTTTTATGTTATAAATGTTCAAATGTGAGTGGCTGAGTTTAGCAATTCTAAGTTCTGGTTGTACTTATATTTTTTCTATATTAATAATAAAATAATAATATAAAAAGAAAAATTATAAGTTAATGTTTGATATTAAAAATAATAAAATTTATACGCATATGTATAACTACTTCTACAAAATTGTGGGGTGGTAAAAATATTTTAATATTAAACTAAGACATTCGCAACAAAATAAGTTTGCTAATAAAAAAAATTAAAAATATTTATTGAAAGAAATTAAAAATACACCATTTTATTGGCATATATTAATTCCTTCAATAATATGTTTGTTTTAAAAAAAAATTTTGTCTTTAAATATATTTATTGATTAGTTATTTCAATAAATTATTGCAATAATTATTTATTTATTTATTGGATGAAATTAAAAATGTGTTACAAAACAAAAGAAATCTAAAAGAAAATGATTGACATGAATTTAAAAATTCTGTTTTTATTTGTTTTACTATTTCTTTCTTTCTTTTACTTACACCTTACTATGTTCTCCTCCTTTTCCTGTTATATCTAAATTAACTATATATTGGACGTCACATTTTTTTTTTCTTAAAATACTTAACAATATTTTTTATGCTTCTTATTTCTTAGAAGCATAACCCTTCTCAAGTATTATATTTGATTATATTAAAGATTATAATCAAATGTGCTATTATAAGTGTTTATTTTTTTATAGGCTAATTGGTCAAAACTTTTTTATTATTGTTGTTAAAAATAAAAACAAAAATTAAGAATTCACAATTTGATTTTTCAATAATTTTTATTTTTCTTCGATATTTCGACTTTAATCTAAAGTCATCATCAGGAAACTGTGTGTCGAAATATCGAAGAAAAATAAAAATTATTGAAAAATCAAATTGTGAGTTCTTAATTTTTGTTTTTATTTTTAACAACAATAATAAAAAAGTTTTGACCAATTAGCCTATAAAAAAAATAAACACTTATTAAAATTATTTGGTCACAAAATTATTAACATTTAAATATTCGGAAGGCGCGCCGGTAAACACTCAAATATGGTGTCTTATAACGAACTTAAAACAAAATGTACTATTATTTAAATAATAGTTTTGTTTCAGGAAAAATAATATATAAATTTCATTGCAATTATTTCTGAATTCTAGCATTTTTGTAATAGTAAAAATTTTTTATATTTTGATTTGAAAATAAGGCTCATTTGTTTCACCATCAAGGTTATGATAATTCATGCGTTTTATTTAAAATATTTTAAACTGTAAGATTTGTTTTTTAAATTATTATTTGATTAAAATATTTGGTTTTATTATTACACCTATTATACTGAGTATTTTTTAAATATTTATTTTTTTGTAAAAATGAGGACTGTTTCCTTATAAAGGAAGTGTTTGGACATGCTGGTTAATCACGTAACAAATATAGCCAAGTATATAAATAGTAAACGTTTAAATTTTGCCAAGGTTTCCAATAATAATTAATATTTGAGAAATTAATTTGCACTGGTTATCATTTTAAGTTTATCGTTTGTTGTTTTAACGCGTTGTTGATGGCGGTATTGCGTATATTAGTTTTTGGCGTTCTATTTCCTTAAGCAATTCATATAATTTATAGGCACAACAATATTTGTGTCCAGCA